TCTGTTGTGTATATAAATAAATAATGTGTAAGTTGTGAGTATTTTTGTAAGTTGTTACATATTTATAATACATTGTTGTAAGTATGTTACATATTTATAATTATTAATATTTGTGTCTTCAATACATACTTTTGTTGTACTTATTCTCTTTTCCTTATTTATTTATATATTTCATTTTTAACTACCTTACAATGCTTTCGGTTTTTATTCTCAAGGTTGACTGGGAGAGAATGCTTTTAGCATTAAGTCCACCTACTGTTAGCTCTACGGGCTCGAAAAGTTAAATAAAAAATAAAATAAATAAATAAATAAAAATTACGTTACATTAAATACATGTATTTAATGTGACGTAATTTTTTCATTTCATAATGATATGACTGCTAAAGGATTTCGCCCCTTCCCTCTACCTGCTTCTACAGTTCAAGTGACATAGCGGTATAATTGCTACATCAAGTCATGTTTTGACAATATTTATTAACAAGTAAAAAAAAATTACATATTCAAAGTACTTCATTGAAGAAATAACACAACTATGGGTTTCAATAAACTCTAGGATATTGTACATATTTTTAGGTGGAAGCTAGCAAGACTAGTGGTGCTGGAAACGATGAAGTGCATTTGCCATCACTATGGTACTACGAACATCTCTCATTCTTGGACGAAAAAACCACACCGACGACAGAGGTTATTGACAATATGGATACGAATTCTTCCCTGTCAAATAATGATGGGGTAAGCTTTAAATATTTAAAGTATTAATCATTCTTTCTTGAAAATGTACCCGGCCCTGATTGTTAAAATATTCAGTGAATATTTGTCTAACAGAATTACCATCAGCAGTACGTTGCCTTTCTGTTCTGTTAAGACTTACTGAGTTGTCATTTAATCTCCAGTCTCCTGGCCGAAAAGTACATGTTTCAGTATCCTCGGTATCAACACAATTTCTTGTTATATAGTTCGATGACTTTTTTCTTAAATAATTGTGCAGTGCGCATGAAGCCATTACAACTTTGGGTACATTATGAACATTAATTTGAATTGGTCTTTTTAATACTCTAAAACGTTCAGCTAAAATGCCAAATGCATTTTCGACAATTCTTCTTGCTCTGGAAAGTCTATAATTGAAAATTCTTTGATCATGTGTCAAATTTCTTCTTGGATATGGTTTTAAAACATTTTCATTAATGGCAAATGCATTATCTGCTACAAAACAATATGGGGCGTTAACATTTGTTTCCGGTAAAATAGAAGGTGATGGTAAATTTAGTTGTTTCGATATCAATTTTTCATGAAAAGTTGTATGTTTGAATATTCCACCATCAGAAATACTGCCATTAGAACCTACATTTACATAAATAAACTCGTAATTTGCATTCACAATACCAAGCAGGACTACACTGAAAGTTCCTTTATAATTATAGTACAATGTACCCGATTTTGGCGGCTTCTCGATAATAACATGTTTGCCGTCAATAGCACCCAAGCAATGATTAAATTGCCATTTTGTTTCAAAGTCTTTAGCTATTTGTAACCAGTCATTTTCTGTTTCAGGAACCTGCAACAAAAAGAGAACGCGTTACGAGAAAAAAGCAAAATGATATTTTAAAGAAACAGTCGGAATTACTAGAGTCTGCAAAAATATTAATATCAGGCGACGGCACATCAGCTGATGCTTTTGGGAACTCCGTGAGCTCTCAACTCAAGGAGCTCCCAAAAATACAAAGATGCCTAGCCGAAAAATTAATAGGCGAAGTATTGTTCTATGCAAAACTAGAAATCCTTACTTTTGAAACATCAATAAATGTAAAAAGAAGTTCAGAACAATCTTTTGGTCAGCGGTATGCGTATCAGCAGCAGGTGCCAAAACCATCACTAGCACCATCATCACAGCATCACCAGCCATCACCATATGTACCATCACCAACACCATCACCATCATCACAGCATCACCAGCCATCACCATATGTACCATCACCAACACCATCACCATCACCACAGCATCACCAGCCGTCACCATATGCACCATCACCAACACCATCACCACAGCATCGTCAGCCATCACCATATCAATCGTCACCATCACCATCACCACAGCATCGTCAGCCATCACCATATCAATCGTCACCATCACCATCACCACAGCATTACCAGCCGTCACCATATGCACCATCACCAACACCATCACCACAGCATCGTCAGCCATCACCATCACCTAAGTACTCACATACAGCACAATCTCAACCGTCACTTCAACACAGTCAGCCATCACCATCAACATTACCTCAGCTTCCACCATCATCACACTCGTACCAACACATAGTGTCCCCTCAGCTTACATCGGATGACTCATCTTCACAACTAATCTATGATTTGCCACCAATCCCATTAGATTCCACTTCATTGATTAATGACTACCCAAACACTTCTTTTGAATTAAGCAGCAATCAACAACAAGTATTCAGAGGAAAGGCGAAGGAATTAAACAAATATTTGATTTTTAAAAAGTAATTTTTCGAATTGATATTCGTAGGTATTTTTTCATTTTCATTTTTATGATTTCGAAAGTAAGGATACACCCAACAAATAATACATTAAATTTTTTATACTTGCTAACAGAATCACCATCGTCATGTTTGTTACTATAGAAAAAAAAATATAATTTTTTTAAATAATTAAAGTTGTTTTATTGAATACATACCTTTAGGTAATCGTTGAGTACTCTAATGATAGCTTCGCAGGTCTCTGGTATTATCTCAGACAGTAGTTGTGGTGATATACATGTGCTTAATTTAAGATCTTTATATTCTCTTCCTGACGCGAGATATTTTAAAGTTGCCACTAATCTTTCTTCGGCAGTTACAGCTCGCCTCATAACTGTATCGGTTTTCGTTATATATTTTTTCACAAAATTTAATATTTCAACGAATGATTCTGGAGTCATTCGAAGATATGTTCGGAAATCTTCATCATCCAATTCCTTAAGGAGCCGCATATGGCTGTAATATTCTCTATTCCTATAATAGAATTTAGCCCATTCGCTTCGTTTTTTCCTTTGTTCCTTTTGTAGCGGTGATGTAGCAGCAATGGTTGCTGCAACCAACGCTATTTTAGCATTTTTAGATAATACCGGTGGCATGATGTTTATGCATCGACGATCGACGGCATCAGGTGGCAAGACGTCCGTTCACTACTTCATAGCAAAGTAAACTGACGGTTGGAAGGCCGACCGTCGGAACGTCTATAGCAATGTTGGAATGGTTGGTACATCGGTTCCAATTTGGTTGGCACCAACCAAATCGGAATGTCTGTTAATAGCTTTAAACAGCATCCTTGTAAGCTTCAATTAACACAAGAATTAAAAGAAACCGACTTCGCTGCAAGATTGGCATTTGCTGAAGATATGCTTCGCCGATTTTCCAATTTTGAGAATATCCTCTTTTCAGACGAGGCTCATTTTCATTTGAATCGGTGCGTAAACCAAAAAAATTACGTTATTGGAGCGATGAGAATCCAAAACTGAAACATCAAAAACCACTCCATAGTCTGAAAGTAACGGTATGGGCAACAATTTCAAGAAAAAGGAATTATTGGCCTTTTCTTCTTTGAAGATTCACGAGGACGAAACGTCACCGTTAACACTGATGTTAGAGGGAGTGGATCTGTGTTCGACTGTATATTTTGGACTCCTAAACTTGCGAAATCTAGAATATAGAATACGAGGACTTGGTTCCAACAAGACGGAGCGACCAGTCACACATCAAATGACTCTATCTATGGCGGTTGTGAGACAGATGTTTCCTGCTAAACTCATTTCTAAAAGAGGTGGCCCCTTGGCCCCCACGTTGCCCTGACTTAACGCCTCCCGACTTTTTTTTGTGTGGATACCTTAAACTCAAAGTCTATATGAACAATCCAAGGAACTTCATTCAGCTAAAATAAAATAACCGTGGGGAAATTCCTGAATTATAGACGAGAGTTTTCACAAATCTGCGTTCGCGTTTGGAGGAGTGTCGTCGTCGATAGGGCCGACATTTAGAAGATGTTATTTTTTTAAAAATTAAAAACCATTTAATTACCTTACCATCCTCTTTTATTTCAACTATACGTTTTGTATTTATTTTTTAGCATTTACTTAATAAATGCGTTCTATTGCGCCACCTGTATAATGAAGGAAGAAAATGATGCTCTCGAAAACGTTTGCGATGCGGACGAAACTAGGCTCTATTAGAAAGTTTCGTAACGAAAAACTCTTGCTTATAGTTAGGGAGGTGGCGAGCAGAATTTCGATATCATCAGCACACATGGCAGACGTTATTAATAGCAATAATGATACCTTGAGAAACATAAAGGACCTCGTCTGCCACCATGGTGGCGCTGCGTTGTCAATTTACAGCGTTTCAAAAATGTTAAAAAAAAAAGGTGGGCGATATTATTTGCACATGTCTGTGTCTCTGGGGCTGATGATCACAGTCATCCTGTAAACACAAAAAATCGAAGAGGCAGACATCCAGGGCTCTGACTTTTGTAGTTTTCAATTTTTTAAGTTATTTTTATTATTTAAAAAACTGTATATGAAATGCACACTTGGCAGATTTGAATTGTTCGATTAAAAACAATGAGAAGGACCACGGAAAAATAGTCTGCCAGCGTGGTGCCGCTGCGTTGTCTATTGACAAAAATGTAAAAAAAAAGATGTGCTATATTATGCGCACATGTCTGCCTCTTGGACTGATGTTTCAATTTATCATGAAAACGAAGAAAATCGATGAGGCAGACGTTCAGACCCCGGATATTTCAAAGGCAGACCATTTGAATTTTTTTTTTTAGGAAAATGTGCGATTTGGAGTGCGCTATGTGTACTCTGCCTAAAGATTTCAAATAACGTATAAAGCGCCTCTACCATCGCCCGTTGTAATAGGGAGAATCCCTCGCAGCTGCTCCTGTACAGTAAGAATTTGGTTAGTTTAGTTCCTGTTGTGCCTCCGGCTCACAACGCCACAATGGAAGAGCCAGGAAAACGTTGCGTTTTTTGTGCCAAACAAGACTTGAGCAACATAATTTTATTCAATACTAAAACGCTAGAACAATGTGCACAGACGTTATTAATTCGCCAAAAATTTAAGTTAAAATTTTGCGATGTCGCGCTACCAGCTGAAATCAGTGACGCGGCAGGATATCACCGGCAGTGTTACAGCAATTTCACCGCACTGAAAAGCGTGTACAAAAAGAAAAACGTGTCTGAAACAACATCTGTGCCTTCAACATCTGCAGCAGTTGAGATGACTGAGTCATCAGTTAGTACTGAACTTTCTTTCGATGAAAATTGTGGACAGGACGACGATTCTGCGAGGTACGAAAAAACTACTACAATGATAATAGAATAATGATGAAAAATTTCTTATCATTCGGAATTTCATCGAAGTCCATTTTTTTTAACGCGAATGGATTTTTGTTTGCAATGAAAAAGGGGGAAGGGCGATAGCTTTAACGTCTAACAAAACTCATGTAATCAATCCAACCATTTAAATCGTTAAATACCCAATAATAGGAAATTCCCAATTCCTCGAAAATATCTCAAGGCCAATGATGATTACAACCACGACGAGCCTGTACTGTTTATAAACAGCCGGCGACTCGCGTCTGCGGTCTCATCCTTTCCTTATTCCTCACACACGCTCGTCCAGTACTGACACTCTGCTACAGCTGAGCGAGTCAAGGCCACAGACCGACTGATGACACTGTGTGTTTGATATGAATGTATTTATTTTCTGCGTTTTTTGGTGGTCTACCAAAAATGTGTTACTACGCTGAAATCTAAATTTCGTCAAAAAAACGACGATATTTTTTATTTTTTTTTTTTTTATTTATTTATTTAATCATTGATACATATTTTTTTTCATATTTTAATACCTTGCCAACCTGTAAACATCAGGTTGTTGGCAAGCCAACGCTCGTTTTCCTTACAGTATCATGTTAAACTAATACTACTGTTATAAACTTACAAATAATATGACTATAAGCTACTGTTAACATATTATGTCTAAGCTATTTTAAAGTGACTATCTGTTACAAATACATATTTTACGCATTATTAAAAAGAGTTTTATTATGCTTCCAATTTGAAAAAAGAGATTTTGATTTAAATATTTAGTTACAAAATATCAAGCGGTTCACTGTGAAGATTAACAATGTAATGTGAAAATAATGTTTAAGTACTTATTGATACATAGTTTTTGCTTATACAAAATAATAATAATAATACAAAATAATAATAATAATACAAAATAATAATAACAATAATGTGTTCTCATTTCTGTAAAATTTCTTTCAAGGATTTTTTTAATATATGTATGCTAACATTCTTATTTTTTCTTACCCACTCTAATTTGTTTAGAATTTTTGGTATTATATATTTATTTGTTCTCATCCCATAACTATTTTTAACTTTATGTATAATAAACTTCCTTTCCCTAACACTACTTGTATTATACCTATTGACAATGAGGGGTCTATCCCACAAATTGTAATAATTTTCTTTTACTATTAAATAATCCACTTTCTTGTCTACTGGCAATATTCTACATACTTTGTATAATTTACTGTAATCCTGTTTACATTTTTTTCTTGTGTTTTTATCAACTATATATTTCAGTAACCTTATTTGTATATTTTTTATCTCGTTTATATATGTTTTATAAGTACGCCCATATACACTAAGACCATAACTAATTAAAGATTCGACAAGAGCATGATATACCATTAGTAGTGTCCGTCTGTCTAATATTTTCACTAACTGATAAAATTTACAAAAGACATTTCGGAGCTTAGTGCAAACCTGTTCTATATGCATTTTGAAGTTAAAGTTTCGGTCTATGTCTACGCCTAGGTATCTGAAATTTTCTACCATTTCTATTTTTTGACAATTGCATGCACATTTCATATTATGTAGACATTCATAAGAGTGACCTATTATGCTAAATGTGTCCTGATTCATTGTCCTAGCTGCACGGTTATAAGGTGAGTATATATGCATATATTTAGTTTTAGTAATATTAATAATGATTCCATTATCATGTGCCCATTTAGTGATATTTTCTAGATCTTCTTGGATATTTTCTGATAATTTATTTGGATTATTAGATGCAAACATGAGGCACATGTCATCTGCATACATACAAACCCTACATCTCTGGACAACATTAGCCACACTGTTTACATGCATGATATACCCAACTGGCCCATAGACTGATCCGGTTGGTACACCCAGCTCCACTTTAGCCACTTTTCCTAATTGTCCTGATATTGCTGTACACATAGTTCGCTTGCTCAAGTAGCTTCTTAACCATTCATTCATGGGTCCTCTTATTCCACATTCACTCATAGCTTGAAGCAGCATATTATGATCAAGTGTATCGAACGCCTTTTTGTAGTCTATAAAAAGAACGAGAACCTGTAGTCCAGCATCCAGACTCGTATTTACAGTTTCAGCAAAGTAGTTTAGAGCAGTACTAGTACTCCTTCCTTTCCTAAAACCGTGCTGCGCATCATGTAAAATCTTATGCTTTTCTAAAAACTCTGTAATTTGACCTACTATGACCTTTTCCATCACCTTATTAATTACCGACAATATTGCTACTGGTCTATAATTAGTATAGTCTGTATAACTACCTTTTTTGTGTATTGGACGTATGATACTTTTTTTTAATTGCTCTGGATAAGTTCCTTGCTCAATACACATATTAATAAATTTGGCTAGTAAAGGACAGATTTTCTGTTTTATATATTTTAAGTCTTGTGCTCTTATTTTATCTACCCCAGGTGCCTTATGGCAATCTATGTTTCTAATGATTCTTTCCACTTGTACCGCATTCACTTTCCTGTATCTAAATGTGACGTTACTTTCTTTTACATATGTTTTTCTGTCCATAAATTTTATATTACAATAATGTTTAATTTCTAATATTTCCTTTGTAAAAGTTGTCGTAAAGTTATTACAAATATTGGAAATATTGTCTGATTTTCCTAGGTGCTTAATTATTACATTATCTAAACTTGGCTTTAGCTGTCCAGTCCATTCATTAATATGCGCCCATACTTTCCTATAATCACCATTACAATTAGTTATTTGACCCCTTCTGTACTTATTTTTTGCATAAAAAATCAACTTATTTACCTTATTCCTACACCGCGTATAATCTAACCGCTTATTCATGTTTTTAGGAGATGCTTTCCATATACGAAACAATTTATCCCTCTTTTCAATCATTTTTAATAATTTAATATCAACCCACGGTTGCTTAAATAGATTTTTCTTACCTAACACCTGTAACTTCTGACTATTTTCGTACACACTCTTGAACACATTGCATATATGATCATATAACACTAAGGGGCAGTTTAATCCGTTAAGTTTATTCCAGTCATACAATACTAAACCATCATTAACTTGTCGTTGAGACAATGAGTAACGCAATTGACCAAACACACTCACTTGATCTTTTGTGTATTGTATTTTGTCACTCATACCTGTGCTTACACAAATACCAACTATGTGATGATCCGATATGAAGCAGTCAATAATGTACGCAGCGACGTTCACGCAGTACCCGCGAGTCTGTCTCGTTCGCACCCATACATGATCCAAGCAGGACATCTCACGGCGCCCGTTCACTACCGCTTCCCGCGTTACCTCTGTATTCGGTATAACGTTCTGCAGGCCGCATACACACAAACTGTTTTTATATCTGTTTATGGTGGGATTTATTTTATTTCCCAATATGTCTAAGTTTATATCTCCGATGACAAATACGTTGTCTGTATATTGAAAACCTCTCATAAGAATCTCAATTTCTCTGATAAATTGTAATTTGTTCTTATTGGGTGGCCGATATATAGCAACAATATGCGTGCATGCTTTCTCTGAAGTTATTATTCCATGTACAACTTCTGCCGACCCAATATTTATTATTTTCATAGTAGTGCTCAAGTTTTTTCTTGTATAAATTATTAAACCTCCACCTCTTCTTTCTTCTCTAGTATGAGAATAAATATCATATCCTTTTATATTATATATCATTACTTCCTGTTGTTTTACATTTATTTCTGACAAAATTATAATATCTATTTGCCTCTTTGATTGACTTAGTAGAACCATAAATTCATTGAAGTTTTTTCTCATAGATCTTATATTTAAATGTATCATATATATATATCCATCAATCATTTCCCCATAAAATTGGTAAAAGTTTTTGTACCTTTCAAATGGTATTTCTGATTCTATTTCTGTTTTATTCATTAAAGTTTGTAGCATATATAAAATCATATAGTGTGTACATTCCGTGCTATATTGCACTTTATGATGTTGCTGCGTTTGTTTTGTATTTAAGTACTTCTATATCTTTTAATGTTTTGATATTATATATTTTATTTTCGTCTTCATTTCTTTTTACCAATATATTTCCGTTTTGTACCCAAATGAAGTCATATAACCCTTTTAGTTGATTTTTGGTTTCCCAGAATATTTCTCGCTTCTGTTTGGGTAAATCTTCATTAATATATATACGCTGGGAGCTTTCGTTGCCGTATATATCTCCGTTAGTAGGGGTATTTTTACGAACTTTTAACCATCGATCCCTCGCTGTTTTTGAGCGAAGTTTAACTATTACAGCTTGCGGCTTACCTCCTTTATTTTTTTCTCTACCCACCCTTCTTGCTTCTTCGATATCTTCTGCACTCAATTCTAGTATATTAGCTACCTTTTCTATAATTTTCTGTATGTTTTCAGTTCCATGCTTCTCAAGTCCCATAATTTCCACCTTTGTTTCTCTTTCCTTTTGCTCCAAATACTTTATACGTTCCTCTAAGGCACCATTGCATTTTTCCATGTATATATTCTTCTGCTCCATCGCCTTTAACTTTCTTTCTGTTTCTGTACTAAATTCCATCATTTTCTGATATTGTTCAGCATAAAAATCTACCGTTTCATGTAATTCTTCAATACGTTTTTCGAGCTTATATATTATATCCAGTTTTTTGTTAATATCCAAGAGGATAGCTTCAGAGGAAATATTCTCTATGTTAGTCGGCGCGCCTTCCTTCCTGATGGGCGTTTTCCCTTCTTTTTGTTTGCATTCATCACAGATTTCATCTTGTAAAAATTGTTTTATATTTTTTATGCACTTTTTATGGAATACCGACTCGCATTGACCTTTGCACTTTATTATATCATCCTTTGTCACAGAAACAAAAAGCTTGCATTTTCTACACTGCACCATTTTTTATTTTGGATAATATTAATTAGAATACTTCTACGCTGAATGTTTTGTAAATAATTGATCGAGTCCGTTCACTTGATAGCAACTGTTTAACAAACGTCCGCTCGTCGAGCGTGTACGCGCGGAGTGAAACACCGTGAACTAAATATTTTTGGATAATTTCAAAATTTTCCTTATTTTGACTATATTTTTCATTAGTAACGGAATTTTCAGTAAAATTTACGATTGGTATGACAAAAATTGACTTTTCGAAGAAACTTTCTAGAATATTTCTTGATGCAATGACTATATTTTGGTGATTTTTCAAAAAACGGTTAGTCAAACGTTTCCAACAAAATATCGATGTTTTTCAACGAAATTTTATTTTCAGTGTAAGTAGAGCTCGACTTGTTTTTGTGTTCAGCGCACACAGTGAACGTGTATCTTAGACGTAGCTGCGGCTACCCCCTTTCCCCTGTATTGTAACATCATACATGTTGGCATCGCCACCAAAAAGATTAGATATTAACATAAAACATTGTTTATGGATCTCGGGCATGCGCCCTTTCTCTTACTGCACCGCGCGTCCAGCGATTACATTGTGCTCCGAAAAGTTATTAAATAAATAAGTCGAAGAAATCTGGTTTTTTCCCTAAAAGTAAATATTTCCTACCCGCAACATTGGTCCTTCGAGCCGGATTTGAACCAGCGACCTATGTCGTTTTTATGACAACATAAACAAATAAGTGTGAACTTTAAATCAGACAGGATGTCAAATACCTATAATAGTAGACGTAACACTAACCAGTTTCAGCGTGGTGATCCCGCTAGTGGTAGTGAAAACCAAAACCGAAGATCAAATCCCGGTACTAGAAATCAACGGCGTGCGTATGATTATCAGCAGAGTAAAATAGAGAATTGGGCTGATGCACGTGAGTTTGAAGAACGCCCCCCCAAGCCAAGGGGCCCAACACAACGTAGTTCGACCTGGAAAGGCAAAATGCAAGAAAAGAAGCAAGTTAAAAAGGATGATGCCTCTGCAGCTTATGACTTCAAGGCTACCCAAGAAACTGCACCGGTCGACGAACCATTATACGACATTGGTCCTTCGAAAACGGCGCCTGGGATTATAGAACACTACGAAGAAAAAAGGGAACAACATCAAGCCAGCAAATAAAATTTCTTTGCAAGCGGCAGCCATCTTAATAGAGGACGCAGAACACCCAGACCAAAAGGTACGGATGAAAATATCATCAATCCTTCAATATCTACGTCTGCGAATTGAAAAGCCTGCAATACGATTTTAATTATTTTATTTTGCAAGGCAGAAAGCATAGGATTCTTATTTATTAAGACCTAACAAAATCGAAGAATTGTCAAATTTCACGCCTGCTAGTGTTGTCCTTGTCTGACAACAAAGGAGTGAGCGAGATATCAGATAACTGAAAGCTGAACGCATCGACAACACACGAGACAGCGCGAACGCGACCGAACCAGCGCCAGCGACAAAGCGAGCGACGTGAAGTTCGTGTTCGTTTCATTCATTCAAAAAAGACGCTATCCGCCGCCATCGAAGTTCGAACCTATTGTTGTGTATTGTAATTAATTAGTCTAATATTAAGATTTAAATCGTTACTATTTCGTGCATTTTAGTTATAAGTGCGGTTTAGATATTGAATTCAGTACCAATAATAGTGTTTGTCGCAGCACGCATAGTTGTTAGCTTGGTAGTTTAAAGTGGTTGTTAGTAAAAATGGTTGGCACCATCAAGGAAATACGGGCTGCTAGAGGCTATAACAAGGGATCCATATCCAGATTGTATAGTTTCGCAACAGATACACAGCAAATTGAAAGGGCCAGCTATGAGTTGCTACAGGCCAAAAAACAAAAACTCATTGAGCTTTTTAGGGAATATGAAGGTTACAACTGCCAAATTCTCGCTTTAGACGAGTGTGATAACGAAGATATCGACGATTATGAAAGTAAGTATTTTTATATCTTTGAAATCATTACTCAGCAAATAAATAAAGTAGAGTCACAAAATTATATTAAAAAAGAACAAGTTTTACCGATTTTGCCTTCAAAAACAAAGCTGCCTACAATTCAAATAGAACCCTTTGATGGTAAATATACCAATTATACGCCATTTATCAATTTGTTTAATGCAGTAATTCACAATGACAAATCTTTGGACAATACACAAAAGTTGTACTACCTAAGAACATTTTTACTAAAAGAACCTCTAGATTTAATAAAAAACTTACCACTTAACCATGATACACACATCAAAAGTGTCTAGGGATCAAGCATTTTTATGCGGATTTCTTGAGATTGAGATGTGGCTTTGTAATAAATTTATGATTTTATAAATTTATATGGATCCTTTTTGGTGCATTTCATAATTTGAATCAGGAACTGTGAATCAAATTCGAGTAAAAGATGAAAATCAGCTGTCAATATTTTCCCTATAAAAACATACAACGCATTGAAGACATTATTAGTGCTACTGTTTCCCTACTACTGATTAAAACCAACGTTATTATGGAGCGGCGACGTCATTTAAGCAGGGAAGAAATGCTCAGAGCCGTGGGAATGATAGAAGCTGGTTCCCGGCAACGTACTGTGGCTTTAGCTCTGAATACAAGTCAGAGTGTTATCAGTCGACTTTGGACACGATACCGAAGCACTGGTACCGTGGCTGAGCGCCATGGAGGACGGTATCGCTGCACCACACGGAGACAAGACCGATACATTCAAATCTTAACTCGAAGAGCTCCAACAATAACCGCCATGATGTTAGCCGTGAGGCTTCATCACTTTTCAGGGAACTTAATTAGCGACCAAACAGTCAGAAACCGCTTGCATGAAGTGAACCTTCATTCCCGAAGACCGCTACGGGTACCACCTATAGCAATGCACAATCGTAGGATTCGATATCAATGGGCTCTTGAACACAGAAATTGGGCAGAAGAACAATGGCGTTTCGTGTGCTTTTCTGATGAGTCTCGTTTTGGTATGAGACCGGATACAAGACGTATACGACACTGGAGAACCCCTGGACGCCAACAGCGATTAAAATCCTGCCAGGAAGTCCATCCTTATAGTGGTGGAACCATCATGGTATGGGCGGGTATTTAGATCGGCGGAAGAACTGAGTTGATTTGGATCAGAGGCAACCTCAACGCTCAAATTTATGCTGAGACGATTGTATCAGACGTCATCGTTCCTCTACAAGTGCAAATCGGTCCCTTATTTCAGTTAATGCATGATAATGCACGACCGCACACCGCAAGAGTTGTAAGACAGACTCTCGCCGCAGCTAACATCAATGTCCTGCCCTGGCCTGATCAGTCGCCAGACTTGAACCCGATTGAGCATGCATGGGATATGCTACAGAGAAGAGCTCTGCCGAATATGGAGGGTATCCAGTCGCAAGAAGACCTTTTTTGTTGTTGCAACGAACATGGGCGGCCATTCCACAGCGTGATTTGGATGAACTCATTTTGAGTATGCCAAACCGATGTTCTTGTGTTGTTAGTGTTCGCGGTAGAAATACGGATTATTAATTGTTTAAGTTACCCAATAAAATTTTAGAGAAAACTGTTATTTCAGTCTTTTTTTCGAACTTTTGTGTTAGTGGTTCAAATGTCAAAAATCCCTTTATTAGGAAAATGGCAAATTTCTTTATTAATGCAAAGGTGACTTGGTTTATCGTTACTGTGACAAAAGAAAACACTTTATTTGATGAATCCTTAAAGAAAATTTTAATTAATATCAATCAGGAGAAAAGTTATTGCAAAAATATATGTTGATCCCTAGACACTTTTGATGTGTGTAGTTACATCCAAGCTCTTCAACTTTTGAATGATAGGTATAATAACAGGTACAAAATAATTAGTGAACATATAAATTACTTACTAGATTTAAAAGGTTTGTCAAAATCAACAGCAACATTTCTAAGAGAGTTTATAAATAACATAAAGCAATGTTTAGCTGCATTAAAAAATTTAAAAGTAAATGTAGAATCTTGGGATGCTGTCATTCTTTGTATTTTGACACGAAAATTAGATGGATACACTGCACGGGCATACCAGTTGGAGCGGGATTCTTCAGCAGATGCCAATGTAAAAGACTTCTTGGCCTTTTTGGAGAAAAGAGCATTGGCTTTAGAAAATGCAGAAACACCAAGCACAAGCATCTTCACTCCACGGTATAACAAGGTAGCAATGACAGCCGCTGCAGCACAGAAGACTCCCAAGGGCTGCAATTACTGTAAGTCCTCTAATCATAAAATTTTTAATTGTGAGAAGTTTAAATTATTACCTTTCTCTCAAAGAATTGAATTTTGTAAAAATAATACATTATGCAATATTTGTTTAAATCCTCATAATGGAAAATGTAGATATCACTTCAGATGTGCTATTTGTAAAGATACTCATAACACATTATTGCACATGGAACCTGCGAAGAAGGAGACTTCTGTGACCTTAATGTCACATTTGTCAGAAAATAAGGTCTTACTGCCTACAGTAAAAGTAAAGTTATTTGCTCAAGATGGTACTGAGGTGTATGTCAAGGCTGTTTTAGACTCAGGATCCCAAGTGTCATTAATCACTAATAAGGTGATTCAAGTGTTAGGTATGACTCCAAAACAAGATCACAGCAACATCGTTGGTGTCAGTAACCAAAGAAATACTGCAAAATATTGCATTCCTTTGGAAATATTCTCTTTGAAAATGAATTATAATGTTATAGTTAATTTCCATGTTTTAGAAAGAATTACTTGTCTACTTCCCCAGCAAAAAATTAATATCTCTTCATTGATATTGCCCACAGATATAGACCTAGCTGACTCAGAGTTTCATATTCCATCGGAGATCAATATGTTGATTGGTGCTGACATATTTTTTCAGACATTGATACCAGAGTATCGGAGTTGTCCGTCAGCAGCATGTCAGAGCCTGCCAAAACGGAGTGAGCAGCATGCTACAGCCACTCAGCAGCAGTATCCACAGTTTATTAACACCAGGTTTGGCTATGTTGTGGCAGGAGCCTTGCCACAGCAGGCAAGCTTAAATAAGGTATCTCTTTTTTGCGCACAATGTGATTTCGATATAAATGAAACCTTGCAAAAATTTTGGCAAACTGAAAAGGTACCAGAAATATTTACAGAGAATGACTCTGAGCAACAGTTAGCAGAGCAATGTTTTAAAGAATCTGTTAGGTTAATAAACAACAAATTTCAAATAGACTTAACATTTAAGTTACCAACCATTTCATGAAATCAAAGATGTATTAGGGAACTCATTTGATTATGCCTTATATAGGTTTCTTAGCTTAGAAAAGAAGCTACATAAAAATATTAATCTTCTAACTGATTATAAAAAAATTATAGATGAATATGTAGAACTTGGTCATGGACATTATATTGATTTAAAAACAGTGGACTTTAAAAAAGAAACTCTATACTTTTTGCCACACCATGCGGTGTTTAATGAACAAAGTAAGAGTACAAAAACTAGAGTAGTGTTTGATGGTTCTATGTTAACTGATAGAAAGGTATCCCTCAATGATATTTTATTGAACGGACCCATGGTCCAGAGGGACCTCTTTGATATTATATTATTGTTTAGATTAGGCGAATACACCTTTTCCACCGATATAAGACGCATGTTTCGCAATATTACTATTAACCCGAAACATACCTCACTACAAAACATTTTGTGGAGAAGCGATCCTACTGAACCGATACAATGTATTAGATTAGATACTGTAACCTATGGGCTTAAAAGCTCAAGCTATATAGCTACGAGGTGTTTACTAGAGCTTGCTGACAGGTATAAAACAGAACTGCCATTAGCTTCATTTTTATTAAAAAACTGTACTTATGTCGATGACATACTGTATTCTAACTCAGATTTAGAAATAATGTTAGAGACAAAGAAACAAGTAATAGAGTTATTAGGTAAGGGAGGGTTTGCCACTCATAAATGGGCCAGTAATAATGCCGCAGTTATTTCTGACATTCCTTCAAACAAAAAACAGTTTGAGGATGTAGAATTTTTTAAGAATAATAATTTTATGAAGGTTTTAGGGGTAACACTGAATGTAGATAAAGACTATTTTATTATTAATAGCCCTGAACCTTACAAGGCTACACATGTCACAAAAAGAAATATGTTAAGTTATATTTCACAATTCTTTGACCCTCTTGGATTTGTCTCTCCAATTATTGTCAAGGCTAAGATTATTTTGCAAGAGCTTTGGGCAGAAAAGATAGCATGGGATAGTGTACCACCTTTGCATATAAAACAGGAGTGGTTATCCTTTGTTAAAAAATTAAGTTGCATGAAACCTATATACATAAATAGAAATATAAATTTACCTAATGCCATGCGAAGGCAGCTTGTTGGTTTTTCTGATGCTTCCACCTATGGCTATGGATGTTGCATTTATCTTCGCATGATGGATTCAATAGGGAATGTTAAATTAAGTTTGTTATGCTCTAAGTCAAGAATAGCCCCACGCAACAAAAGATTTACAGTGCCAAGGCTTGAGCTTAATGCAATGCTTCTTCTTAGCAAGTTAGTAACCAAGGCTTTACACACATTAGAGTTAAAAATTAAAATAAACGATATTTATTTATTTTCTGACTCACAAATAGCACTAGCTTGGCTGGCTACTGAACCTGTGAAATTGAATGCTTATGTGGCAAATAGAGTTAAGTTAATAGTTAATCTAACAGGTCATTGCTGTTGGTCCTACATAAGTACACATCAGAATCCAGCTGATCTAGTCAGCAGAGGAGTGGATCCCAAAGATTTTGACACGGTAACTCTCTGGTGGAATGGTCCTGCATTTTTACAGTGTAGTGAATATTCATTAGACAGTAAGTTTGAATGTCCTGCAGAGTTAACAGAATTAAAACGAGGCTTTTCCTCACCAACAAATACTAAGGTTGCTCTAGTAGTGATTAACGATA